TAAAAGTGTCATTTATTTATATATGAATCTATGTTATCCTGTGTTTTAATTTCCATTTTTCTTGTCAGTATAAGATTGCACATAATTTTGACCTAGAAAAAACTAAAATTGGCAGTATTCGATATAGTGAAGTAGGAAAGTATTACTGTAAATCTGAAAATATTCAACATAGTAGCCATCCTGATGTTTATTATAAAAGCAAATTCCCTATAGCTTTTTCTTATTTAAGTGATCAGAAATCAAATAAGAATATAACTGGTGTAGAGATATAATGTTTATGCTTGTATTATTGGATATATGTAGGAAGTTTTAGTAAAACATAGGATAATTATATCAAAACAATCTATGATGAATTCCTAAAGGCATATAAAAATTTGAAAGGGAAAATTTTCAGTGATTATAAGGAAATAATTACGGGAGATATATTGGGGAAACTTCATGATTTATATGATATTAACTCTAAACTTATTAAATTAAATAATAAATGTGCTAATGGTTACAACTGTGAATGTGCTAAAGAATACTGAACGATATATATGAAATAGAAGTGAGAATGTGAATTAAATAATTATACTGATTTTTGTAGAGAATTATAACAGTTTGAATATCAATATAATGAAAAAATGAGAACTTTAAGTTGTCCTAATTTTAAATTACAACTACTACCTTCTTTTCAAATATATAATATAAAGGACTTTATTATAATGACATTTGTTATTATGTTAGTAATATCCATTTTTTTATCTATTTTGTATAAGGTTAAATATAATGTCATTTATATCTTTTCGCATTATTAAGGAATTACTTTAAATAATTTTAAAAATACAGAACTTAGAATATAAAACCATTTTATTACTAATACAAATGTTAATTATAATTTGTAATTAGTTTACCACATGTGGCTCATATTTTCGCCATAGAATAATAAGGATAGGAAATAACTTTGAGCGTGTAAACAAAGAAAATAGTGTATTTGAGTATTCAAAAATGATTGACAGTATGTATACAAATAGTAGGTATAATATTTTGTATAATTATGAATATTTCTGTTATAAAATATACAATTTTAAAAAAATATATTTTAAATATATACAAAATTTTCAATCCAATTATACACATAATGGTGTTCTATATAATTTCATATAATAATGATATAAGTCCTGTAATAAAAAAATATATAGGAAAGTATTAATTTGTAGATTTAATAAGTTTAACGTTTTAATAAGAAACTTAGTAATGACAAAAATATTATTAACTATAGACACAAAGAATAAAAATACTAGTAATAATTATCATTCATGCCTTGTTTTATCAAGTTTTATGCTGATCCAGTAAAGGGATTTTAATCTATAATATAGTTTTTTTTTAACCCTGGTAAAAATGCTCTGCATAGGGTTAATCCATAACTAATATCAAAATTATAAATCATTATAATGCATAGACAAAATTAATATGAATTCCGTCAATATATATCATAATATTCTTTTTTATATAATATTAATGAAAAGAATAATTATTTATTTTTTAGTACACATATTAATATTTCTTTTTAAATAAATATATTTAATTATAAGAATTATAATTAAATAATCTCATATATATTGCACTAATATATTAAATTTTATGACACAAATGTTTTGTTAGTATTTCCGAGTGCTTAATATAAGATAT